TATAGTAACAATGCAGGGAGGAGATTTGGAAACCACACCCTGAGCGTGGGGAGGTGATCTTTGGAAAGACAGTACGGGTCTGGTATCTGGGGCTTCATCAAAAACATCTTTGGAGGTGCACAGGCTGAGGAGCTTCGAAAAAGAATGCAAGACCCCGAACAAGGCCAAAAGCTCACCCAGAGGGGTGGGCTTGGGATGGGGGCGATGTTAGGCATGTCGCTTCTTCCCATGCTCTTGGGTCGAGGTCAAGACGGCGAGTCCATCAGACGTCAGATGGTAGCCGGCCGTGAACCCATGATGCAGCGAGGCGGACTGAGCATTCCACCGGGACTCGTGGCTAAAGCCCTACCCATATTGAAAACCGTTGGTGCACCCTTAGCTATGGGGGCGCTAGCGTCCGTCGGTGACAATCTGGTGGACAAGGTATTTGGCCGGGGTCGAAAGGGAAATAGTAGAAAAAGCAGTACTCGAGCAAGCAAGAGACGATCTCAGAAAAGACGATCGAAGCTACCACCCACTAACAAATTCTCCAGGGGGCAACGTGCAAGGAAGCGCAAAGGAGACGGTTTGAAGAGGGAAGTTGAAGGTCTGGGAAGGCAGCTGTTTGAACATGCAAAGTCGAGAGTACAGTCCGGCATCAAGTCAGGGGCTAAGAAGAGAGGTAGAAGACGACGATCCTCAAACCCTCCAGAAACCATTACTGACCGTATCCGAACTCGCATCGAAAATACCCATAACCCTTCGTTTATACCTCAGAGCTTTAACATTTAATTTTTTCTCGTTATAGTAAGTATGGACTTTTCATCACTGCTGTCTCTGAAAGGAGGGTCTGCCTCTTTACTCCGCGTAGCAGGTCTGTCTCTACGATCTCAACCCAAGTACTCTGAGATTCTCCCCTCCCTCCAAACATGGGGACAAAATGTGCTATTTCTGGGTCAGAGCAGCATGGGGAAATCCCATTACCTCAAGGAAATACTTCGAGAGGTAAAAAAGACTTTACGTCATCTCCAATACTTCACCGGAGCAGTACAGGCAGGAAGGCACGGAGTTGAAACATTACAGTGCAATGCCTGAGTGTATCGAAGAGACGGACATTCAGCCCAAGTCCTTTGTCATTATAGATGATATACGTGTCATGGGACTGAAGCATGGCAGTCAGAGGGAATGTCTTTACAAGTTTTTCACCATGTATAGCCATCATTATGAACTTAATGTGTTCTTTCTCTCTCAAAGCTTTGATAACATCAAAGATATGAAGATAAATACCAACTTCCTCTATCTTTTTCGCTTTACAGATAAATCCAACATCAAACGCTATCTTCATACTTTATTTGGCGGATCCTGTTTGAAAGCTAATCTTGTCTATAAACTCTATGAAAAACTATTAGAAGCTTGTTGGAGACCCTTTCTAGCGGTCGATGCATCACGCAATGAGTTTTATACTCACTGTGATTCCATAACATCGAAGGTTGTGTTTGAATAAAATATTTTCTGCCTATAGTAAGTATGGATGGTGTCAGTGTTCGCATTATACCCACCCACAGTGAGTGGGATGCGGTTACCGTCACTAAGATTGGAGACACCTGGGAGGTCACATTCCCTAGAGTAAAACTAATTGTCCAAATCGAATCCGAAGTTGATAGTTTTGAGTGGATTGCTGGCTGTGAAGCACGGGGGGTAGGAGTGGATGAGATTGATTAAGCCCGTTGTGCAGAAATGGAGCGAATACGGGTGCACTTCCAACCTATCTGCATCGAGTGCAACGGCCGTACTCACCCAATACCACCAGAGAAGAGAGACGAGACCATGAAGATGATATTACAAAACCCCCAGGATATCCTGAGTAAAGGTGACACCATGTGGGAGGTTCAAGGTACTCCTCCAGTACGAGGTGGAGATTATAAGAAATTTTCCGGGCACGTGAGAGAAGCACTGGCCTATATCCCCGAAGAAGATCGCCCATTTCCTATCTCCCAAGTGAAATCAAACCCTCGAGTAAAGGCTATGTATGATAGAACATTTAAGAACAATCCGGATCTGATAAACCCATCCTCGGTTACTAATGCTGTTGCATCGAATCTCCTCGATTATGATCAGAGTTCTGGAATGGCAAGAGGGTCCATAGCAGAGGCTAGAATGAGGAGAAACATCTCTGCCGCTAGTATCCCACTGCAAACCGCTCTGGAGCCAAAGTTTGATAGAATAGTGATAAATACATTTGGTAAACTCCTAGTAGACCATAAGATACCGGAAGCCTTTCTGCAAAGCAGCCACTTCAGTGCAAGGCCGCAACTACACCAAGTCTATCAGGAGGATGAGCAGGGGCTCAGAGGTAGAATGGAAAACACTAGAGATAACCTCGAATTTCAAATCCTCAAAGACTATGCTACTCTGGTCAACCAAATCAATCAGTTTCACCTGTCGCGTTATCCATTCCAGCAGATTGCAGCAGCAGCCAACCTTAATGCGCTTCCAAATTACTCGAGGAGTAATGTGAAATTGGCTGCAATAAGAACTCAGCTTCTAGCCATACCAGGATCCGCAGACAAATATTCCGGTATAGGAGATATGATCAACGCCTACACTCGAACCAAAGAAGCAAAACTTATCAACGCAGAACAATTTATGTTAGGTCTCAAAGAGCACATGGCTGATGATGCCACCTTTATCAAAAGTGTCTTCAAGAATCGGCAAGTGGCTAGCAATACAAGGAGTCCCTATTACCGAACACTTGCTATTCTGAAAGGAAAATCCCTGGTATACTAGGTATGGATGTGGAGCTGAGCAACGTGGACATCGAGTCTGCGCTGAAACACATTCGCGGGTTCCGAGGTGTGACTAGCTACGATCTCCTGCCTGCCTTAAACCATGGCGAGTTTTGTGTGTGTAACACGGACAACATACTCCCGATACTGGATAAACCCGAAGGGGGACACCATTGGCTGACGGTGTGTAGGGAAGGCGATAATGTTCTGATATTTGACAGCTTCGGGCGTGCATTGATGCAGATGGCCGAAGACTATAAAGAACCGGAACTAAAACAATGTTTTCTTAATGTTTATACCGGCTGTAACCTGTACACCAATACGCAAGTCATTCAAGATAGAAGCACAGCGGTCTGCGGACGTTATGCCATCCTGGTAGCGAAAGTCTTCTCAAAGACTGGTATAGACGGAGTATTGGAATTCCTCTCCTGTAGGCTGTACGTTCTCTCACGATACCCTTCACAACGATCAAGTCATGGTTGGTGGGGGTTGGCAAGACGATCTTGCCGATGAGCTACATAAACCTAAGCGAGTACATTTCCCACGCAGAAAAGTGGACGTTTACGGCAAGGACGATGTATGGAGTGCTGATCTCGTAGAAATGCAGCCCTTTAGCGAATATAACGAAGGAATTAGATATATTCTCAATGTTATAGACATATACACGAAGTATGCTTGGAGTGTGCCACTTAGAGCAAAACCGGGGATAGTGTTGTCTCAGCCTTTAAAACCATCACAACCAATCGGAAACCTAAGCTACTATGGGTGGACCATGGCTCGGAATTTTATAACAAAACGTTCAAGGAGTGGTTGAAGAAAAACGACATTCACATGTACAGTACAGAGAATGAAGGAAAAGCCGTCGTCGTTGAACGTTTCAACAGAACGCTAAAATCTCGTATGTGAAAGCACTTCACCGCTCGCTCGACCAACGTCTACATCGACGTGCTGCAAAAACTTGTCGACAACTACAACAATAGTAAACACCGTACAATTGGGATGACCCCCATGGAAGCCTCCCTAGGGAAACCGATTGAGCATCTGTATGAGCCCATTGCGGATGAGCCTGTCTTTCAAGTCGGAGATAAAGTTCGCATTACAGTGGAAAAAAGAATGTTTGCGAAGGGATACACACCCAACTGGACCGAAGAGGTATTTGTGATTCGTAAGGTTCTCCCCACTTATCCGGTCACCTACAAAGTGAAAGACCTTGCCGATGAACCCATCACAGGAAGCTTCTACAAACAGCAGCTCATGAAGACTGAGCAAGCTACATTTCGAATCGATAAGGTGTTGAAAAGACGTAAGGGTAGTTTGCTGGTCAAGTGGAAGGGATACCCCGAAAAGTTCAACCAATGGGTATCGCAGAAAGAAATGAGGTATATTTCCAAGGATAGTAGTATAGGGAAACGATGATGCAGTGCACAATGCAGACTACTGCAAGAAATCTGCTTTCTGCTGTTATTGCTGATCGACTGGCAGAACAAGGTCATGTAGACCTACCACAATGTGTATCGTCGCCGGAGTCGAAACCATCTCGGCTTTCTAGAGTTTTGGTACGAGTGTGTCGCTTAGTCAGGTGCAGTGGATCGAGATTTCAGGTGCTGATGCAGCAACTGTGTTTCAACTCCAGAACGGGTCGTACGCAATTTCTTACATTTGCAAAAGAACTATTTAAAAACGGTATCAGCCATGTTAAAATTGTGGCCCTGTACTTATTCAGCAGCGAGTTAGCGAACATCTGTATGGAGAATTCAACGGAACTGGGATTGCACTATGTACATCATGTCATGACCTGGCACTTAGATTACATGACCACCAATGTTTCACCCTGGTTGGCGGAAAAAGGAGGTTGGCAAAGTTTTGAAAACACCCTTACACACGACTTCAACTGGTCAAATCGCTCAGTATGGACTCATCCTCGTTCAGCCTTTTTGGCCATAATTTTGCTCATACTAATGGTTGAATGGATGTGAGGAAAAATTCCCGGTACAGTAAGATCAAGATGGACTCCTCAAGCAATGACACCCCATCAGCCGAGCCATCAACTGCGAGCAACAGCGAAGCCTATGAGAAAGTGAAGGGGCGTTTGAATAAAGTTAAACTTACTCAACAACTACTCCTGCTTGCACCAGTGCTGTTCGGAGCCAGCAATGTGGTGGCAGAGAAATCCACTCAAACCTCACCAGCCGAAAGAACAAGCATCATAACTACATTCATACTGGCCATCATATGGACTTTAATCTCATTTTTTATGTCATCATTGTGAGCATAAATTTACGCAAGTATATAAGCATTTTCTCAAGCTGGGGAAATATATGCCCGCAGATACTGAACTTGATCAATTTGATGATATATGGACTATGCTGCGCACACACTGCAAACCAAAAGTATGTAGGGTAATATTTTATGATGCGATGAAGATTATTATACCGCACAATGCACTATATCCTGCAATATAATTGAGGCACAAGCTTGAAATATTTAACAAAAATGTAGAGTGTTGGAGCCAGCTCCACACGTCAAGAAAGGAGGAATATTAGACAGAAAAATGGCGGGGAGTTTTGCATGAAAATGATGAAACATGTTCAATGTGGGGTCCTGCCCATTAAATGTCCTTGTGACCATATGCAAGTGTGGCCATGCCATCATCCAGTATATACCGCTTGCAGTCGAATGGAGACAATGCCACCTTGGTGGTTACCTCCTCATACACTGTGTGGCAATGTGATCGGAGACCCGTCATAGGCCTGGCAGACACACGATGACTGAGCAGTGCATCTACATAGTCCTTGTGGGTGATGGTATTTGCCAGGACTGCCTTCCGAACACCCTTTGCCCGTTTGGCCGATTCCTGCCCGATGTAGGAGTACATCTTCGATCTTAGACCTACAAACTCCACCATGGATTTCCCACCAAGCTCATCTTTGAATTTGCCAACCACTTTCTTATTGGCAGAAGTGTACTGAGGATGGTCAGTGGGAAAGTTGATCACACTCCACAATGAACCCAGTGCTCGAATCTACAGGTTGTGCCAGTATTTCGGACAGGTTCTTGTCACACCAGGCAAACTCAGATGTCGGCATACTCTGGCACATAGCCCAGCCATACAGGTTGTTGGCATCAAGGTATAGCAGGTATGATGTGGGCTCGGCAGGATTGTACTGATCCATCGTTGGGTTGTTGGCCTTGCCGTACCGCTGCGACGCCATTGAGATGCCCCCACGTAGACCAGCTTCGACAAACAGATGCATGTCTACATCCGTGAGCAGCTGCAGTTCAATCTGGGTGAACCGTAGTAGAGCATCCCATGCATATCCTACATAACACCATACAACACACCAGAACACAAACACGAAAGTCAATACACCATGCAAAAAGTATAAAAATACACCGACAAGAAAGCACAAGAATACTAACAGAGAACACCATCTAAAGGAGAGAATACATTGGACAACAACAAAGACTTGTGAACATACCTGGGAGAGTAAGGTAATGGGCTGGATCCAGTCCATACGTCTTGTATGCCGTCTTGCGGAAATGCTCAAAGACATCTGCTAGAAGATAGACATCTGTTTGCAAATAGAGGTCATGATAGGCCTCCATTGTACTGCACTCAAATGTCTGCAAAAAAACAAACAAACATCAACGCACACACACACACACGCACACATCCATACCCACAAGCATCCACATATCCACGGATAGAGAGCAATGAGTACAAAAAAAATGTGTAGGGCACATCACAACAGCATACAAAGTCATAAGTAGAGCATAATGCAAAAAGCATGGCATCAGGGAAATTCTGAGGGCCAATACAGAAGGCACAAGCTGCTTACCTGCCATACGTTCTGAGCATGAGCATAGTCAGCATCACTGATACCTTCTCCAGTCAAACTAGACTCAAATGCTGATTTAGGTGGCAGCTGTGTCTCATCAAACCGAGCAAAGGAGTCCATATACCCGTAGGGGTAGACACCCTTACGCAGGAGAAGGTCATGATGGGCCATTGTACGAGTAAGCTTGAAGGCATCTTCCGGGGTGTTGCTCACCAACGAGTCCAGAGAGGAGTTCAAGAAGGCCATGGAGTCGATGAAGCGGTACTGACGCCACTTGAATGAAATATATTTCTCCATGTTGTTGGCGATGACACTGATCTCACCAACCTTCTTAATCCGCTTACGCTGGTTAGAGTCCTCGTACTCCACCTCTTCAACCTCGGTCATACCAATGTGGGCGATGAGGTGGTGAGCGTCGTACCCTTTCAGGTTGTGAAACACAACCGGAATGATCTGGCGATCTGGGTAGATACTCAGCTGAATATTACACTGGTAGTGTGCAGCACCACGGTAGTTGCCTGTGCAGATATTCAGAAAGAGGGGAATACACAAACATAGTAAACATCTACAGTGAAGGTGATACCACAGACAATACAATTCAATACACCATGATAAAACACAGATGCAAACAGCTACAGAGACATGAAAATGCACTATACACATATCATGCGCATATCTACACACAACTGCAAAACAACAAAAATAAACAAAAAATTATAATACTTACCAGTGAGATGATCATGATCACGAACACGATCTTCTCCAAGTACTTCGTCACATATCCAGCAGTTGACTGCATTCTGAAACTCAAGCTCCAGTTCTGCCGTCATGCGAATTGGCTTGATATCAGCCAAATCCTCCTGGATACTGCCTTCCAACTCTTTGAGACTGTCGAAAAAGTTGTGAATGGCATTCTCACTGCAGTCGTCAAACTCGCCCCGGACTTCACCGTTGGATCGGATGGCAGCATATCTACAAGAGCATAAAAGAAGAAGGAAAGTAAGAATGAGTGATTTTGAAAAAAGGAATCACAAAAAATGCACATACTACAACACGAACACAATTAGGGGAGAACAAGACAAGAAAGAATAACAGGAAGCACTGTGCAGGCATGAGTACAGCAAACATTAGTCAAAAACAACACCAACAACAAAACATACCTGATGCTGCATGGTACATGACGTGCTGTGCGTACAGTGCTGCTGCCATGCTGTTCCTCCATCGGCTCAATGATGGCTTCCGTATCAGCGTAAATGATATACGGAGCCACCATCCTGTGCTTCAAATTTGTATATTTGAGGATGCTGTCCTTTGCTGTGGGCATGACTACTGGCACGGGCTTCATCACCTGACATTTCTCGCTGTGATGCTGCAGGGAGTCTGCTGTTTTGTGTGCGGAGAGGCATCGCAAGCAGTAGTGTGTTGCCCGCTTGTTCTTATTCTCACATGCACGACTGAAGTTTTTTATCCATGTGAAGTGGTTGTCATGTAGAAGGAGGTTGATGGGAGTCTCCTGTCGCTCGCTGAGATAGAGTGGGTACAGATTCCCCTCGTACCCAAACACATTGATTGCAAGACCATTCTGTATCTCCACTTTGGATACATCACGGAGCGTTGCAGGGAACATTACACCGTCGAACCGCAGCTCCTCCACATACTGGGTGTACTTGGATGCACGCTCAGCATTCTGTTCGACGGGGTGCAGCGCTGACAACAACGCCCACATCAAACACCTGTCATCGTTGTTCTTTACGTTAATGATGGCCTTCTTTTTTTCTAATTTGGGCGGGATATCAGCTGCACCACCTACAGAACACCACAAAAATACAACGAAGGCTTTGCTCAGAGTAACACCACATCACAACTACACCCTCTCGACAATCACGAAAAACTGTACATCTAGTACAAAACATCTACAACTTACTTTCCACAAGAAATTCGACAGGCTTCGAACAAACACTGCCGGATGAACAGAAACTCACCTCGAAGAGGAGTGTACTTTGCTGTCGATACATCCAGCTGTCTCACTCGAGAAACGGTCCAGTTGGATCCGTTCTGCACCCACGTATCAATAAGACCAGTGATCCTCGCCACCATGATCTTGACTGCACTATCAATATCCCCTTCGCTGAGGATCCGAGCCGGTCTACTTCTAAAAAACGGGACGGCAGACGTACTACCCGTGGCCGACTCTCGTGTCATCTCCTGCCTCAAAACTAAAACCACCTTGAACGGGTGAGACTGAAGCTCCTCGAGCAGAACCTGTCGGAGCTCGTCATGATGGCTGCTGAAAAAGACGAGAGGATCAGTGCCTGAACCTGGCAAAGAAAACTTTTTCAAAAAACCACGCACGGCACTCGAGGTGGGCAATCTGGGCTGCCTACTAGTAGATCGTTTTGCACTTGGCTCCGCCATCGTCACGTCACCTCCAGCACTGCCCACAACATACTGAGGAAATAATCTCCCCGTACAGCGTACAGTCAACTTCGCTAATAACGACTGCGGATATAACGACAATTCGCGAATAACGACCGAGTTTCCATGCCCAGAGCAAAGTCCCATCTGACTGTATACATTTTACTTCGGATATAACGACTATCTGAATAACGACAATTCGCGAATAACGACATGCTTTTAGTGCCCCGAGGTCATATTCACTGCTTGAACAACGACTTTCTGGGCTTTTGACAGCTATTTCAAGTACCTGTCAGTCAAGTACATGTACATGTACCTGTCATGCAGAAGTACCAGAACCTATGGTGATGGATAATGTTATTATTATTATAAAGGTGTATTGAGCAGGGAGTGGTGCTTTCTTGCAGGTTTGCCGAGTCGAAGGTTCGATGGACTTCTCGTGTGCTCTGGATGGCAGTCGTGAGTCAGTCAAGTGTCAAGTAAAGTCGGCGGAATAGCGCGAGCTCCGGTGTGGGGAGCAAACCATTTCTTACAAATCATCGCCGAAGTCGCAACCACTACTTCATAAAGGCACACATGCAAGAAAATGCAGCCAAAGGGGGGGGGGGGGCTTTTTCTTCCTTTTGTATGTTGGCTTCAAAATTGTTGGATTTACCAGCACACCTATATGTATACAATATTATGTACATGTAGTTGTACATGATTGTACAGTAATCATGACACATGTACATGTACATGTCTCTGGCCCTGTATAGATGGCTCAAAAAGGCATATTTTTCAATTGATTTCCCTTGCATATTGAATTTTTATTTCCTTTCAACTGCAATATGAAAATAAAGTACACATTGACATAGAGCAAGAAAAGAGCTTGATTTTGATATGCATGTCATACTATACAAAATATGGGTTCACATACATTCAAATGGGACTTCGGTTATAAGGACACTTCGCGAATAAGGACACTTTTCTGATGCCCTGCCGAATGTCGTTATTGGCGAAGTTGACTGTATATGAGGTCGGCTATCACCCTACAATGACACGTGTACTAGTCCACCTTGTGTATACGTCTTTTCCGCAGGGCCACTGAAGGTCGCACGCTCCGCGTGCTCATGCGCGCATGCGCAATATGTCATTCACTGCACATCTACGATGTGCAAATCAGGGAGTAGTACGTATTTTACTACTCCCTGGTGCGAATACAACGAACGTGCACAAGTGCACGGTCGCCACGGAAAAGAACATGATGACATTTATGGCATGGCAGGGCCAAAGGTCGAACAAACCCTGGGGGAGTCCCCGAGCCAGACCAAACGAGCCCGACACAGTGTGCCTTATTTGGCCCAAAGGTCAAAGGTCAAAAAGTGCACCAGAACCCGCCCCGCACTTACTACTGCCAGGATAGATGTGCTGCCCTCCGCCCCTCCCTTCTACATTTGTAGTGCCTGGAAAGGGCAACATATGTGACAGCGTTCACCAGTACAGTCGGAAGAGAACATGGGAGAAGGCAAAAAAGGGCAACACACATGAATCCCTTATAAACAAGCAGTGGCAATTCTAGCACCAGCAATGTTTATTGTTGGACTTACATCCCAGCCATTGCCGCCGGATTCAGCGGCTTCTTCTTCTTCGTCTCCCATCTTGGAAGCACTCCTTCCCGTAAGTTCAGTCCTGGGAGTACAGTCGGAGGAGGACGTCGGAAAAGGCAAAAAAGGGCAACACACATGATTCCCTTATAAGCAAGCAGTGGCAACTCTAGCACCAGCAATGTTGGACTTACATCCCAGCCATTGCTGCCGGATTCCCACGCTTCTTCTTCGTCGTCTTCCAGTTCCCAGGTTCCATCTTGCAAATACCATGAATACTCCTTCCCGTAAGGGCGCGTTCAGACTACCGATAAAAAGTGACCGATTGGGAAAGTCGCCAAGGTGATTTGATCACGTGACGTTACTGGCACGTTACCGGTGGGAAAGTTTTATATTACTGCCGCGGCTGCTGCGCGACTTTTACCGGCAGTAAAAAAGTGCTCAGGCTGCATGCGCGCTGGGAAAATAGGGAAAATCCCTTGTCAGTGCCGCGGTGAGATAGTCCGTGAGCCAAATCTCAGAATCGGCCGTTTTAGCATCGACCGTTGCACCCAGAGAGGGACAAATCGTCCTTTAGCACACCGCTTCACGATGGTATCCTGAAGCGATTTCCACTTGTTGGACAGTTCGAAACTGATCCAGGGAGGTCACAGAAGACGCCAAACATCCAACTTTGCTCACTGACAGCAGCGGCCATTTTCGCCTTCTTCGCTTGATGTTTTTGCGCTTGTTCACGGATTCTCATTTTTTGAAGCCATGAGCAGATACCACGAGTGCACATAACGCGGAAACCAGTGCACAAAACTAGATTCGAATTTTTTTGCCGCTGAGAATTATGAATCGGGATGCAAACTGCATACAGCAAAGTCAGGGCTGGTATTTGGGATCACAAAACGGGAAACACGTCAGAGGCCATCTTGAATCACGCTACGTCATCAGATACCCGCACGTGACGCGGGGCCGCGAGATCGCGACTGCGCAAAAGTGTACTTGCCTGTACAGTCTTTGACCTAGCTGCAAGAGCAAGTGCTGGTTTTTATCATAGTTTTATTTTTTGGTGGTGCTTGAACTAGTTCGAACTGCTTCCCTTCGACTTTCTTTGACAGAGCGGGTGCTGTTAGGGTTTCCTGTTGTCAGTTTGTATCCACCACCGGTCTTGTATGTCAGTGCTTGTACAAGGAGGTGTTCAGTAGTTATTTTCAGTCCGCACCATGGATCGCATCCAGGGTAGGAAATCGCACTCTGACCGGCTTGATTATCCGGAGTCGAGAAAGAAGCGAACTAGTGGCCAGTTCGGCTCAGTATCATGGCCAGCTGGACGTAGATCAGATCGCCCCGAGGTCGAACCGTTGAAACCGACAGTAGTCCTGAAATCCTTACCTCGCAGAACATTGACGATGTGGAGCGCGGTGTTCAAGAACAAGGAACCATGGTAATAATTGGATTCGCTCCAGAAAAATGATTCTCGTGGTTCCCGGTTCCTTTCCCAATAGTTCCTATGGTCTGGATACGTGCATCACGCTGAAGCCTAGATGAATCTGTAAGTCGGTCTTCTCCGTCTAGCTCAAGATTTTGTGAAAATGTTATCAGTGAACAATAAAAACAAAGGACACAGTGCAACAAATGGAAAATGCACATCTCCTTCTTTTCCTTGCCGTGCGCACTGCACTGTCAGTCTGCAGTTCTGACTGGAAGGTGTCTTCCGTTTGTGAAAGAACCAGCGCAAGTCGCGCGTGGCGCGGCGTCCTTCAAAACGACACAAGTGAGCTCCACATGAGCCGATTTTGACAATCGATGGCTCAAAATTGTCAGTAGGAGATGCTCCATACTTTCACCGAAGCGAATTTTGCCAAAACGATCCTAGAGGTGGGACACGTTTACCGAGTTTGAGGGTGTTATTTGAGGTCTAAATTGCGAAAATCAAAAATTCCTTCGGTGAATCCCTTTGCCCACATCTGAACTCGGTGCCTGCAAAATCTCAGCCTGCTCAGGCGAAGCGCCAGCACCCCAAATCAAGACTTTTTTATTTTCCGTGGCGGGAAATCGAGCTTTTCCAGGTATCTACAGCCTGTAGAAATTCAACGCTGAGAATTTCCAACTATTGTCCGGCTTTGGTCCTCTGCCACCGACCTATCCTTTGAAGGAGAATGCTGAAACCAGTTGGTTGCTCTTCAGTAGTTCTTTCTCTATCGTACACATATTTTTGTATGTCGACACATGCTGTGTGCGACGACGTAGACACTTCTCAACACTTGAGTGACTTGAATTTGGACATGATGACCGAATGTAATTGGACCGTGGAGTCGAGTAGAGGGCTCAGGCTCGATCGGCACAACGGGTACGTATAGCACAAGGGTAGGGCTAATGATATATCAAGTTGTTTGCTCTGCACAACCTTGGGGCGGAATTCGGCACGAAATTCTCTGCTCGCCAACTGTTGAGTATACGTATACCATGCAATACGTAGGTTTAAACTCATGTTGCAGTGCTATCACGGTTGCAACCCTCTTTCAAATGTTGACATAGCCAACAACCACATAATCCATATCAAATCTTGCCCCTTGTTTTCTTTCTAAGTGTGAAAAATAGAAATAATACCAGTCCTAATCATTGGTAAATGCAAATCACGGTCTATTATCGACACATCGTACTGTCGCGGACATGGAAATCCAGTCGATTGACCGGGGCCGGCGCCCTCAGCGCGTACAGAACGTTGCATGCAGTGCACATGTTGATCCAATGCGACCACCGGCAGCGCATGATAAACCGTGCTACGGCTGCATGGCCAGCGCCCTGGGGCCGCTATACGTGCGACCGGATTTCCATGTCCACGACAGTAGTACCATGCAGCCTGGTAGTGCATTTGGAGCAGGAAAGTGAATGGTAGCACTGCGGTGGTGAACACATGAGCTGATGACAACCATCGTCGTCTTGTTGGTTTGTGTTGTCTCCAGTTCATTGCAGGTTGAACGAGGAATGAACGTCTACTCTTTCTTTCCAAAACTGGCTGGGCACACGCCAATGAGACGGAAGCTAGTGCCAAACCAGTCCTTGGAAGTTTTGTTGTGCTGCTGGACTTTCAATCATCATGTAAAGTATATTCCGGTTTCTGAGTCTTCGTGTGCGCCTGAAGAGCTACACTGTGTGGAGATGTTGGAAGTTTATCCTGCTCACGACACTGCACCAAGTACAAGCACTTCCTCGGCACTGCCTGAGCCCTGTTCTGTGTTTACTGTGACCAGGAGAAGCAACTAGAAATTTGGAGCTTGAGCTGGAACGCTGGTGCTCTCTCTCTCTCTCTCTCTCTCTCTCTCTCTCTCTCTCTCTCTCTCTCTCTCTCTCTCTCTCTCTCTCTCTCTCTCTCTCTCTCTCTCTCTCTCTCTCTCTCCGTCACGTTCTGCCACTGTCCGAAACCGGTGCATGTGCTAGCATGTCGAAGC